CTACCCACTTTCCTAACAGATATGCATAACAACAATATCCACAGATAAGCATATAAGCTATATCCACACTTCACAAAGATAAGCATATAAGCTATATGCCACATTACTACAACAGTATTATAACACAAGTATCCATCAATAAGCATATAAGGGCTATGCTCCACACTTCACAAAGATAAAGCATATAGCTCTATCTTCACTTCTCTAGACCAGCATATGTGCTGTAACTACGGAGTTCATCCCCTAATCTTCTTCCAACACTATCCGGTGTTAGAGGTACATCCCTAACTTCCCCTAAACGCGGGAGTACATCCCCCATCTCCTCCTCTACACATACGTATACAAACATCATTGGTTCTATATACAATCACACAATACATACAGTTAATGTATTTCTATCAAACGTCAAATTCTACATGACACATCCCAGTTGATTAGTTTCAGTTTGGCTTATTCATCATGCAATTGTTCTACCACAAATCACGACTATCCTCCTACCGATAGCCAAAGCAGTATTTTAACATGAAAATAAATGCACATGATATTCAATCAACATTTTCATTTTTCTCATTCTTCTAATTAATTATTCCAATAATTAAACCATGTAATTATGGTCAATCCCATAATTAACATTTCAACCCTTAGGTCCCATTTTCATCATGATTCAACATTAATCCATTTCTCTATGCCAAACATGCATCTAGGTTATTAATTGACTAAAACCTCCAACTTTTGTAAAATTGCACACAAAAGTCCCAACTTTCACAATATTACCAAACCAACCGCAACATCTCAAAATACCAAAATTTAAAGACAAAATCCATAGAGAGGAGTAGGATATCCCTACCTCGAAGTTTGAGCCAAAAAGGAGATGAAGACTCGAAGACCAACGTGCTCCAAAACCAAACTTTTTCAGATTGAATCAAAGCCCTCAACGCCCTCTATCTTTTTAATAAAGGCCCTAGGCTAGATTCACCCTCTAGGGAGATCAAATCTAAGAGAGAGTGTAAGTGTAGAGAGAGAGAGTCTCGGATTTGGGTTTTGATCAAAAAAAAAAGTGAAAAAGTGATGTTTAAAATCGCTACTGTCCGCTGATATAAAACACTCTCGCTCGAGCGAAGACTTGGTCGCTCGAGCAACCAGACACAGAAACTCTCGCTCGAGCCAAGGAACTCTTGCTCGAGCCAAAAACTCAAAAGTGCGCTCGAGCCAAGGATTACTCGCTCGAGCCAACAACTCCAACCTTCAGGTCTACAACCAGAAGCACGCTCGAGCGACCAACTGCTCGCTCGAGCGAAGAAGAAACCAGACCGCTCGAGCCAAGAAACACAACTCTCAGGTCCAGAACCAGGTGCAAGCGCTCGCTCGAGCGAAGCCACTCTGGCTCGACCCACCAGACACAAACTCAACTCTCGCTCGAGCGACAAACTCCTGGCTCGAGCGAAGGTCCAGAAATCTGGGCAGCAACACTTGGTTTCCTAACACAACCAACCTGTAACAAACCTGCCCAACACATCCTATAACTCCAATACAAAATAAAAAGGATGTAAACAAGATAATAAACAACTACCAACATCCACGGACACATGTCCGGATCACTGTTCAACAAGGGTAAACCCGGGATCGCTATACATAGAGCAAGGTAATTTAAGTTTGGGGACCAAACTTCTTTAAGGGGGGTAGGATGTAACAACCCTCACCTTACTCTTGTCATATATTCATGCATGATCTTGCCTTGTTATGTTAATTTGAAGGTTTTGCCTTGCCTTGTTTTGTTGAAGTATTGCTTGCATGATTTTGTTCTTTGCTCGGCGTGTAGCCGAGGTCATCTTGAGATTTGACCAACCCTGAGCCTTTGTACTCAGAACTGTTTTGAGACCTTGGTCGATCCCCATCTTCACCTCGGGCTTATTGCCGAGATGTCTTGCACTTAGTGAACCTTGTCCGCAGGCAGGTATGGCCTAGGCCGAGATGTGGCACACCCCGGCCAAGGTGTGGCACAGCTTAGTCAAGCGTCGTCCTCCCTAGCCGATGTCTTTGTTACCCTGTTGCCGAAGCTGTGACTTTAGCCGATGTTGTTACTTGCCGATGTGTCTTACCCAGCTTGCTGCATACGCTTTGTCAGAGACTTGTCTTATCTATCAATCACCCTTTGAGTTGAACCAACCCGATAACGCCACGTGTCCGAGCTGATTGTTAAGACAGCCGGCAGACCTTGAAACAAATCATTTTTGTCTCAAATCTTTGGATGAGGCAAAGACAAGTCTAGAGAAAGGAAGAGAAGTTCTTGAGTGAGAGTAAGTCTTCCAAGCTGATCAGCAACAAAGAAGTATCATCATGAGGTTGGCATTTTATCTTTTTTGGGGCTGCTTAGCACAGTCTCCTCCATTCTATAGCATTTCAGCATGGAAATATGAGGCTTAGAGTTATAACTGTTTTTACATTTCATAATAATATAGATATTTTTGTCATTGTTTTCCTTTGGAGTACTTAAACCTGCAGACGACAGTTTTTGGAAGGAAAATAATAATTGGCCGACACTTCCATGGTAGTACCTATCTTCCTTCTTTTTTTTGTTCATAGGGCTTTAAAACCAAAACCACAAGATATTCCAATCCTATTTCTTGCAGTGGTCTCTCCAACCATGATTTTTTATAATGCTATGTTTAGATTGAAGAAAGGAGAATAAGAGGGAAGGGTGGATGGAAGAGAAGTGGATTCTCTAGAGAAGGGATTATGATTCCCTTCAAGTTGTTTGGTTTAGTGGAAAGGAATGTTTTTACATTAATTTATTAGTATACCCTTGAGTAAACAGCTTAAAGAGAAAGTTGAAGTGCAATGACATAGTTTTGCCCACAACTCTTCCTTCCCTCTTAACCTTGATTGGATGGTATGTTGTTGATAAATAAGGGCTTTTAGATGGCTGTGAACTGTGACTCTTATGAATAGCAATTATTGGAACAGTAGAGAAGAAATTGACCATATGAATCCAATGTAGAATCCCATTGGAATTAACCCGAGGTAAGATTGTATAACATACAGAGTTTTTATTTCTACATTGGATTAAGGCTACAAAATAGGAAACTAAGAAACTTTGACTATATAGATTGTGGTGCTTTTTACTGCATAAAACCTCGAATATTCGTCATTTATCCATCAGGGATAAAGCTAAACCTAACAAGGATGTATTGTAGTATTTCTTTTGTGTGCGTGTGTGTGTGTTGGGGGAAAGGACATCACACAATGCTACAAACAGGTTGGATTAAATATGGTGCTTAGGATATGTGGCATGACTATATATGATTGTCTAATTTCGGGGTGAGTGCTTAGGATATGTGGAATGATTATATATGACTGTCTAATTGCAGGGTGAGTCATCACGTACAAATGAAAGGCTTAATCAGCTGGAAGAAGAGGTTTGGTTCTATTGTATTTACTTTTCGTTTCACCCAAAAAATTATTTGCTTTTCGTATTTTTGTTTTTACATTGCTTGATGATTTGATTGTTCACCTTATCTAAAGTGTAAAACTGGGTTTATTTAGATCCGACTTCTTTGGGCTACTTTAAGAAAGACCAACTTTGAGCTTCACTTTTTAGAGTCTAAAGCACAAGATGCTGAGAACAGATTGGAACTGGCTTCTTCAAAAGTTGAAACGGTTAGTACTCTGACTCATATCTTTATATCTAGGTGAATCTAGTGGAGGACAGTGATGATTCCTTGCTTGAATTGGCATACTGATGTGGAAGTAGAATTATTTGTATAAATAATTACCTAAGAAGCAAGGAGACTTCTAAGAAGTTGGTTTGTTTGTCAGTGTTAGACGTGTTGAATGCTCCAAAAACATGTCGTTTTATTTTAATTTTTAATTTTTTTTATTCTGACATACTTCAGACACTTGGGACACGTGTGTATGAAACACATTACAAGTTTGAACAAAATAACTTAGGATTCAATAATAAATACACCAATATAGATTTATACCTATAAATCCCTCCTCCTTTAAACTATATATATTAGTGTTATGGTGTATTATTTATTATCTTTGAATGAAATATTCTCATTTATATGACATATAATAAATATATAAACTACATATTTTGCACATGCCTCCTCTTATGTCTGTTGTAATTTTTTTTTTTTAAATTGCCATGTCAGCTAATCTGTTTCATGTCTATGTTGTGCCACATGTCTATGTCTATACTTCTTAGATAATAACCACTTTCTAATTTTATTGGGCTTTAAACTTAGTATGTGCCAGACTGTTATTCTTCTTCTGTTTATTAAATGCAAACATTATATTTTTAAGTTTAATACGCATTTCATGTGAATCAAGAAAATCCTCCATCTGACGTGAAGAAGGTTGAATTTTTTGCCAGAGGAGAGAGAAAAACTGTAAAATGGGTAAAAAAAAATCTAGAGGTTTTTCTGTGACAAGCCTTAGGTCTGATTAGGCCAATTTATTGACCCCAACACAGGGCCTGTTTGATAACACAAGCCCTTAAAACTGATTAGGTTAAGTGATCTTAAAATTAAGTATAATTGATAGCACAATTTGACATCACTTAAAAGGTTAAACTTCACTTAAAAGGGGTCAAAATTTTCAGTTATATGGGCTTGACTTATTACTTATCACCAGACATGCTCAGTGAAATCTTACATTCCTTTAATTTTTTTTTTTTTTTTTTTTTTTTTTTTTTTTTGGGGTAGTTCTACAAATGATTAGCCGAACATGTCCCAATAAAATACATATCATTTCCAGATATCCACAATCTTTTATGATTGAACTTCTATCGTAGCTTCCACCCCCCAAGTTTAAAAATAAATAAAAGCATGACAACACCAGTATGATGAGGGCAAAAATGAGTGTATGTTTGTGTACTGAAAGAGGCTTGTGACTCCTTGTTGCAAGTGAAATCAGCACATGAACACTACATGAGATGAAATGACAAAAATGTACGTAAATGCATGTCACTTGTGCAGTTGTGTCATCAACTTAACTGCCAAATAGACGCGTGCCCTGATAACAAGCGGAAGAGATCGTTGAGGCTGCATTATATCACGAAACAACCTCCTGAGGAGAAAAGGAAGGTCTCGCAATCTCTGTCAAAAAGAGATTTTCTTTCAAATATCAACTCAATATGATATACCACAGAATTCTAAAATGTAAATGAAATTATTATAAATGCTTGAAAGGAGCTTGGACATTAGACATGCAATCGTTTAAAAACACCATCATAATCATCATCTTGATACAAAAACAAAATAATCTACAGCATCAAGACCAGACTATAATAATAGAAACCACCAAAGTATAAAATCAGATTAAAAAAAATTCTATTCAATTTGGATATTAAATAAGTAATAATTGCAATAATTGCAACCTAAAGCAAAGATTAGAGCTTAGAGAAAGAAGGGTTCATACATAGGTCAGAAATGGAGATAAAAAGCTCCTACTCTTAACACCGTGGTTTTTTTTCTCAAAAAGTTCAACTCTGAACACCTCAGGTTGTCAATAGGGCTCCAAATGATTTGTAAAATCATTCCAATAACCAAAACAAACTGCTCCAATGTTCCTGCCAAATGCCAAGTATTCGTTCTTCCACAACAGGAGACATCTTGCTGCATTCTGTATATGGAGTAGCTTAATAGTTCAGAATGCATAACTGCATCCAGATTTCTTATATTTGTGCAACTACTGTTCTTAACCGTAGATACTGCAGAACAGAGAACTTGCAAAAAAGAAGACAAATTACTACATACTATTACTACGTATCATCTCATTATAAAGAAGACAAATTACTGGTAAGAAGGAACCAATGTTGCTATTTCATGAAAAAGGTTACAGGACATCAAGGCATTCCAATCTCTGCATTCTTTAAGGCCTACCAGCAACATTCGGAACTTTGTTCTAATAGAGGAGACACACCTATTCATAAAAATGTTAATGCAAACAACACCTGTATCCATTTGGAGCTATCATGTTGTGTGACAGATAACATGCATGATGCAAGCAGTAAGAGCCTCTGAAAAAAGCATATTAAAGTACTTTAGAATTTGGTCATTTTGAGTTGGAACCCACTTGGGACATTCATAATCCAATTTTAGTCTTTGTAGAGCTTTATTTTATGTTCAGTTAAAATTTGTATGCTTGTGGTCAGTTTTATTCATGCTTTATTAAGGCTTCGTTTGGGAAGCCCAACTTGGGGTTTTTTTTGACTATTTTAACCACAAAAAACAAAGTAGGCTTTTTAGTTCAATAAGACAAAACATCACATCCAACCCGTAATCATTACATTCTTTCTCTCACAAAAAAATCAAAAAAACCAAAAGCGCTTCCTAAACCAGGCTTTTTAGCACCGGGCTAAAATAGCCAAAAAAATCAAAAAGCCAACCCACTTCCCAAACGAACCCTAAATTCCAACATTTAAGGACATTCTTGTAACTTCAATTTTTTTTAAACATAGCCTGTACCCATTATCTGAGTCAGGATATATTACTAACTTATAATCCAATACAATTATAGCATGTATCCACTTTACCCTTTATTAATATATATATGCTTACTATAATAATTACGACGTATCACCTTTTTTTTATCACCCACCAACTGGTACTCCAATATCCCATCACCATACCTCTCTCTATTTCTAAAACGAAAGAGTGAATTGACAATCACTCTCCACTTGGGTCCATTACTCTCACTGAAGATTTCTCACTCTCAACTCCAACACAAATGAGTATTTCAACTGCCTACAGAGATCCACCTAAGTTGTTTTCAAGAATCATACCATCATATGTGCATTTTTACGACCTTTGGTCATGCTCCTAGTCATGACCTTATCCTCATTTTACAATAGATTTCTCTTCGCATCGAGGGGACATGCTAAGTATGTGGTCTCAATTTCAAACGAGTCAACACTTCTGCTATTTTTTGAATCAATTCAGTCCCACTTCAATACAAACTGGAATCTATGCAGACACCAAACTTTCAAACAATTGCATAGAGTGCATGTGGGTACTAATCCTACCAACAAGAAAAGCAAACCACATAAACACTACTAGCCACTTTTGAATACCTAACAATGGATGTATTTAGTGTCAACTAAAGAAGAGAGGATATTATGAGTACAAATGCAAAACCAGCAGCAGAAAATGAGATAATGAAAACTGACCTCTAAAAGTATCAAAATGTTTCATCCATGAAAAACTTATATGCTTCAAACCAAAGAGAGGAGAAGTGAGGCAAGGTGTTAAAAGCCTTGTAAAATAATTTCATGGACTATTGAACATACCAAAATTCATGTTGATAAATAGAAATTTGTCAAATGAAAATTGCATGAATTGCACAGCAACTGTCACCAATGGTGCTAATATTGAAGACCTTCCAATAAGTTCCTAGATTTGTTCAAGATTTATTCATTAGGTATTTGTCAAGTATGCTATGAATGCTAACACCCAAGTAGTTATGAATCACAACTTCACAAATTCCACCATTTAAGATAATGTAAGCTACAAAATGTAATTTGCTGGCCCAAGGAAATATTGTATATACATTAAGATCTACCTGAATAAGACCATTTGAGCGTTCACCAAAATAACGGTTGTATCTTTCAATCTTTCCCAAAATCTCAGCAGCGTCAGAATTATGACGCTGCCGTGATGAAGCATCACTGGGAATCAACAAAGTAATTTGACGACGGCATAAAGGACATTTACATGGTTGAAGGGCTGATCCATAATTCCAAACTTGAAGAATGCAATTACCTGAATGAGAAGCACCAAATAATTACCTCAACACCAAATTAACGCAATTAAAAAACGAAAAGTCATATTCAACTTAGGCAATTCAACATTGCCTGGTTTTTTGGAGGAGACATTTTTGATTAAATTTGAAGGGAAATATCAACCTCATTGTAGATCTCACATCATAATAACATACTACGAATTTACATGAGAAAGGCAAAGGTAGATAACATAAGAGATAATTATGCATCATGTGTGCACACAACTAACTAGTACAATGGCTAGCCCCTCCATGAAGCATCTTAACCAATATTGGTAACAGTGAAACTTCTGTTGCCAGAAGAACTGCTTTCATTTGGCTTACATTAATGGTGGATAAGATATTCAACCAAACCAAACCAAACTAAACCAAACCAAGCCTTAACTCCCATCAAATGGGATCGGCTACATGAATCCTCCTCATCCACGCGGCTCTGTAAAAGGCCATTTCATTAGTTAAATTAAGTAGATCCATATCTCTATTTACAACGCTAGCCAACATTAATCTAGGCCTATCCTGTCCCCTAACACTTCTATCTACTATCACTAGATTGCATCTCTTCACTACTACTTCTGTTGATCTTCGTTGAATATGGCCAAACCATCTCAATCGATTCTCTCTCAATTTATCTTCTATCGGTACTACTCCTACCTATTTCCGAATACACTCATTCCTAATTTTGTTTTGTCTAGTCTTGCCACACATCCACCTTAGCATCCTCATCTCAGCCACATTCATCTTATCTACATGTTATTTCTTGGTTGTTCAACACTCAGTCCCATACAACATCGTTGATCTAATAGCCGTTCTATAAAACTTACCTTTTAGTCTAGTAGTGCAAAAAAACAAAAAAACAATACTTTCTTTGGAAAATTAAGACAAAATGTATTATAAAAAAATAGAGATTTTTAAAGATATGCTTGAAAGTGTCTTATTTTCCCAAAGAACATATATATTTTTTGGTTTTTTTTTGGCACCTACCTTTGGCACCTACCTAGTCAGTTACCCTCCTTTATTATGATTCTTCCCCTTCCATTTTTATGATACTTTTCCCTTCACTCTTCCCTCTCTTAATTTCTTTTTCTTAAATTGAAAACATGTCTTTTAAATCACACTCATCTTAAAAACCCCAAGGGGTTGGCCTAGTAGCAAGGCCTCGGGTATTCCCTTGAGGCCATCAGACTGAGGAAAACCCTTACCGTGGTGCATTTGCAAAAAAATCCTTGCTGAAGGCTGTGCACGCCTAGGGATTAGTCCTGCTTTGATCCGAACACCCCGGTGCCAATAAAAAAATCAGTCATCTTAAAACATTTTCTTTATGCAACTAGAAATTTTGATTTATGAAATCCAAGTGCACAAATATATATATTGGTTATTGTAAATATTTATCTATACTATTATATAAAGTCCACAGGTCACTTGTATGAACAGTTTTGTCACAGATCCTCCTTCTGTGTGCACACCTCCTAGTTACTCTAATATGTTTTTTTTTCAGAAGTTGTATCTATGGATTAGAAATTGTTACTTCAGATTTGCATAAACTATTTTTTCTATATGATTGGCATAAACTAGTTTTCTATATATGATTGAGAAAAATAAATAAAAAAAGGGTAAAAGAAGATTGCGTTTGTGACCTAGCTAGCTATCACCTCACAAAGAAAGAAATTGCTTGAATTGATGAGTTAAAATGTAGTGGTAACAGCAATAGAAGCAGTAGTAGAGAATATGATAATAAAGGAGGGAAGTGAAAGATAGAGAAACCGCAAAACCAGTGAGAGCAATTGGCTTGGCATGGAAGATTGAAGCTTCCATGGCATATCGAACAACGATCGTTCGCCGGAGGTCCTTCCATCACTCTCTCTCTCTCACATATCCCCCCCAATCAAATCTCTCTCTCTTTTTCTCTCTCTTTCGCTCGCAAGTTCCTTTCGTATCTTCTTTTCGCTTAGGCGGTGTTCGGTCCGGTTAATTCGGGTTGGGTCCGGACCCACCCAATCAATCAACCATCAAGTCAAAAATAGGCAGGGCTAAGGCGTTGTTTGGGCTGGACTATAAAAACGCACTTTCTTATTTTTTGGGATTATATTATCTCTTTAATTTTTTGTATTTTTTTTTTGTAAAAAGTTAAAAAATACATTTATTTAAATCATTCCAAACAATCCCTGAATTGATCTGATTTTGTAGTAAGATATAATTAAACACATTACATACTATGTGCACCTTTATTTACGTCATTTTTTAAAATTTAGTTATGATTAATTTTTTTCTTTAGTCATGACATTATTTTGAGATTTAGTTATGACATTTTTGTGTTTGATTATAAGTTTTTTTTAAAAAATTTAAATTATGACTCAAAAAATATAGAGTTATGTCACTTTCTTCTGTAGTTATAAGATGCATATGATAATAATAGTTATAAGATGCATATGATAATAATCTTTCTCGTTAATAAGTCATGAACAAAATCGATCTCTATGATTTTAAGAAAATTAAAATCGTAACTGAATCATTAAACATATATGATATGAATTACAATCAAATTATAGATATCGATTTAATTAAGTTGAATTTATAATTCTAGAAGTTTTAGATAATAAAAAAGATTATATATATTCTACAATATTAAACAAATTAACAATTATTAATTTAGTTAAGTTGGTTAAGATTTGTCAATTCATAATATTCAAATCTTACTTTTAACTTCTATATTATTTACACACAAAAATATTAGAAAATAATAAATAAGTATATTACGGTCTGATGGTTTGATATTGTAACTAATGTTTTAGAATCGACTAATTTAAACGGCTCAACTATTTCAAAATTAGAACTAAAATTAAAATTCATAAAAATTGGATCAAACCAATGATTTGGAATGAATTGGACTGATTTATTGATTCTATCAAATTTTTTGAATACATCCAACTTCAAACCCGCAACTTTTCCGACCTTCATTCACAGCTTTTTTTTTTTTTTTGGTATATTGTTAAGTTATCCATATTGATCTTGTGCACTTTTACTGATCTGAACCGACCCATTATGTTTTAACCAAATCAGATCAATTTTATGCTCTTACACACAGTGTAAGTATTTTTCAAACTCGGGTCGGGTTTAGCACTATTTTCCTTGGACAAACACAATTGCTTATTTGAGTTTTAAAATTCAAATTGATTTAAGAAATTAAAAAAAAAAAATTGTCAAAAGGTACTAGATAAAGGTGTTTGAGGATGCAAGGATTTAAAGCGAGGTATAAAATTGTGGATTCGGTAAAGAGCACACCAATTAGTTTATGAGTTTAACAATGTGGATTTAGTTATAATTGGTTTGTGTTGCAAATTATATTTTCTTCGTATATTGGTAGAGGATTAAATTAACATAAGAGATAATGTTGGTATTTTTTCATAACAATATAAGAAAAATATATAAAATAAAATAAATAGAAATGATAAAATATTTTTTTATTATTATTAAAGAATGAAATACAGAATAAATTACATAACTAAAAATACATAAATTACCTAGAATATATTACAAGATGGATTTCCATGAACATAGAAAATAATATGCAAGAAATAGTTCAAATCTAAAAGTTTGAAGAACAAAAGATAAGAGATGTAAATCGAAACCTGTGTGATATTACAATTTCTTTAAAACAGATTCACCGCCTCCCGATGGGTGTTAGAGGTATGCTAGCGTTTGTCTCCTAGGATATGATGGTTGAAACCAGCTAATGCAGAAACACCTTCTGAATAGTTTCGGCGAACTTGACAAGGGTTGCACTCTCTCTAACCAGAATCAAAGAAGGGGCTAGAAAAAGAAGATAGGAAAAATTTTCTTTGGTGGAAAAAAAAAATCTCCAACTTTTTATCTCAAAACACCATCTCCATTTTCTAGAAAAATGGTTGAGAGTACTAAAAGTGGTGCTCTAATAACACCACTAATGATGTGGCAGTGAGCGCTATGCCTTTTTTTTTTTTAGCATTCCCAATGCATTAGTGCTATTGATGGTCTTTTTTTTAGTGATATGAATCATTGTTGCCATTTTCTATCAAAAATCTCTCCAAAAATTATTCTACTAAGTTGAAGGAGAAAGGCATCTGTTTATATAAGTAGGGGAATCCCTAACCATTATGGTTATCAACTCCATCATCAAAAGATGAGAGTTATAAAAATTTACATTTCTTATGTACTTAATATATACAAATATATATATATATATATATATATATATATATAATGATGTTTGAATAAACCAACTAGATAGGTCACAAAATGGATACTAATGTTGGGTCATAACCAATCCAAGCCTAATTCTGAAACACATGCACAAGCTAAGCCCAACATAATATAGCTTAGCCCAAGCTCAAGATTAAGTCCAAGTCCAAGTCAAAGACCAAGCCCAACATATGCACAAACACAAGCTTAGGCCCAGTCCAAACCAAGATTAAGTCCAAATCTAAGCCTAACTTTATTGATGCTCACTTTATAAGACAATTCTCATTCACAACTCAATGGTTTTGGCTCGTTATTTTTGTATTGCAATCTTCTCACTTAAAAGAATACAAAACCACTCAAACCCACTTTAATCGGCGGTTGGGTCCCATTTTAATTTCAAATTAAAGTTGCTGAAAAACCATGATCTCCAACAGTTAAATCATAGAAATTATAAGTGTAATTTATCCATTTTAAATTTTCAAACTTTTCGATATGAGTTAGTAAGCTGGAGAAGAAATAATCAATCTTTAATAAGATATTAAACGATAGAAGTTGGGTGTTTAAAAATAGTAGAACTTTGCTACATACTTTTACTAAATTTTTTATTTATCTAACGGATATGTCACGTGACCGAGATGGTGTGGTGCCACCCTTCCATTCATCAATTAACATGTGATTAAAATAGAGCTCCTGAGATGTTGAATGTTCATACTTATAAAATCATAACCCCACTTTTTAGTAAATGTCAATTGATGAGTGGAAAAATAACATCACATCATTTTAGCCATGTGATGTACCATTACATAAAAGAATGGAGGGCAGTTATTATGCCCCTTTGCACAAGAGTCATTGTTGTGAGCATAGTAGGGCCCATTTTAGGTCCCATCTCAATAATTCGAACCGTCACATTTTAGAAAACATCGAGTAAATTTTTTTTGTAAAAAATCATGTTAATTTGACATTGGTAACCCTATGATTAGATCAAATTTGTATCTGTAAAAATAAATGTTCAATGTGATTTTGACTAAAAAACTGAATACAAATTTAATTTGATCATAAGGTTACCAATGTCCTATCAATATGATTTTTTACAAAGATATTCTACTTAACAATTTCTAAAAATGAACGGTTTAGATCATTGAAGTGGAACCCGAACTAGGCCCATCATGCTCAGAGTCGTGCAAAGGCACAATAGCCCCACTCTATTTTTCTTCCTCATAGGTGTAGACGCTACACTCTTATTTATAATTAGTAAAAAAAAGTAATAATTTAAGAGATTTTTTTAAGGTCCCTTGTATTAAGATTTTATAGCATAAATGACACCCAATATTTTCATAATATCTAAGGTCCCTCAACATTGATATAGGAAAAATTCGATCTAGAGAATTTCTCTAGACTTTCCAGAAAAATTCTCTCCTTTGGACTTCCCACTCTCTAGAGAAATTCTGGACTTCCTAGAAAATTTCTCTCCAAGAAATTCTGGGAAGCAAAATTGGAAAGTTAAATAGCAGTGTGTGGTCACTTTTGCTCATGGCAACAAAGGCTTCTATATTGATCTATTTGACAACACATTACATGATTCAGCAATTGTATCTCGTCCATCTGCTATATCAATCGTGCGAGTTGAGCATGACCTAGCTGGTATGCTAGCTGTGAACATACCTCCAAATTCATGTCGTTCTCTTGAATTTGCATTTATTGGTTCGCATTTGGGTAATAATCCAAGACAATCTAGTAAAACGAAAAACCGTTGCTCCTCTGAGGATTTATCCAAAGAAAATAAAAAAGAACCTATGAGTGATGATGAGTGTGTTAAAGAAACATATTCAATTCTTCGTGAAGTTCATGACGTAATCTTTGATTAGTAGGTATGCTCCTTGCTTTTCTATGCCCTTCACACTTCTAAGTACTATATTTTTACTGTTTCTGGTTCTTTTGTTACAGATTTTTGATTTGGTGAATCGCGAAGCATTAAACCCATCTTTAGGTGTGAATGTGACTGGAATACGAGAAAATTATTTGCAACTGAGCATAGATCAAGGAGCTTCTGTCTTCATTTCACTTGTGCCATCTGAGCAAGATAATCAAACAGTTGATAGTGTAGAGACTCAACATTTGGACACTGCAATTGTACCTTTGGAAACATTTGATGGATCACGGTTAGGTGAAGGGAAAAATGATACCCCAAAAAAGAAATTTTAGCACAATGATTTTAAACCAGAGAAAATTATTTTAACGAAACTAGAGAAATTTTAGCACAAATTTCACTATGTTTGTTCATAGAGTATTAAAATTTCTCTAGCTTGATTAATACAAAAACCTGCAATCTCTTGATTAATACAATGGGTATGTCTCATTCCAAACACAATCACCATCAAACATATCCCCCCCGCCACTATTTTTACTCAAGAACTCAACCTAATCAGCTGTAATTTTTTGGGTAGTGAAAAAGGTGTAAGAAATGGTTTGAAAAATGGTTTGGGAAAAAAAACATATTTTTTCTATACTTTGGTGTAATTTTTAGGTGAGACCCATGAGCTAAAGTTGGAGGGTCCATGTGGCAATGCGTTCTTTTCCGTGTAACGATTCATGTCGTATATTTGGTTGCTCAAAACACTCAAGTTTTGTAGAGGGGGAGGTTATGGGCAAGGTGGGCTAGACCTATTGGACCCAAAACAAACACATATACACGTGTGCGTCGCCACCACCGTCCAGTTAGACGGGCTGGG